GTTTGTCACCCTATCCTATAAAAAAAAACCTGATGGTAAGTGGTTGTTGTGGCTCATAGGCCATATTACATCTTTCATCATCATCATCATCTTTCCTCGATTACGAATCAATATGCAGATGCATTATCACCCGTGAGAACTAAGATGAAATGCGTCGTTTCCAGTAAAAAGGGTCTCCGGTTCTCTACACTCACCACACAAACACACAGCAACGTGGTATTCTGTGAGAGCGTTGTCCTCCCCGGTCCAGCCGACCCATCCGTGCTACAACTATACTACTAAAATAGCTGTAGCATGGCTCTACCACGTAATAAACCCCATAACTTTGATCATCTCTCTTCATCAATGTTCTGGTTTTGATTTCTTTAATAATGTTTATAAATTAAGATTATTCAAATAAATACAGTTACTTTGCAGACACACATAAATTGCGGGGCATAGGTTTAGCATATGACGTGACGGTTCATATGATACTTTTCAAATTGGAAAACTAAAAGCAATTCCCTTGTAATATGAATGTTTCTATAGTTGTCATATCATTTCATTCTACAGCGCAAATACGAATTACATCGAGTAGGAATATATTCATTTCACATCTGCAGCTTTATGCTCAAAGCTTGAATTAACATTTTAAAGTATACCTATCACCTAAACTAATATTATCTAAACTAATATTTTAAATAGATAAGATTTGTTTTCTTTTTGTTCGTAATAGATAAGCTTTAAAATTACTGAATCGATTTTAAAAATTTTTTCATCTATAGAAAGCTGCATTATCAGAGAGTAGCACTGGTTATATTATATCGCTACTAAAAAATGGGATCCCTAAGAAAATTCCAATATTGTAACCCAAGTTATCAAAAAATTGCCTTTAAAGTCACCACCAAATATGTTGGGTACTGTGTTTCATAAGGCACACGTAAGCTTCAAGCTGAAATAAGTGGTACATTCCTCCAAAAACACAACTCAAGGTGAGGCCAAGCCGAGGACTGTGAGAGTGTAGTCCATCCCCGGTCGAGCCGACCCATTCGTGCTGCAACCACAATATAACTGCAACAAGGTTTTACCACGTTAAAAGCTTGTTAGCTTATTTTATAATTAACGATCGTTCGTAGTGTCCAGCTTAATATGCATGTTGGAATGATTTGATCCAACACATCAAGTTAGAATTATAGAGTGGTGAATGTCACTGTCATCATTTTATGGGGTTTAGTTACGGAAATTTGTAATATGTAACTTGCCATTATTCGAACCAAGACATCCGTTGTTACAGTCTCATTTGATAAATAAGCAGATACTGTCTCGCGGAATATATTACTCATTACAGATTATTAAAAACGTTTTTTTTTTGGTGACTAAGTAAATGTCAAAAATAAAAATAAAACAAAAGAGCATTTCAATTTAGCATTAATAAGGTGATTGATACACGAAAAAATGTTTGTCACAATTTATACAGCCTGGAATTTAAACTGGCAATCAACAAGATCCAGTTAATTAATTGGCTCGATCTTGGTCTTACAGGCTTATAATAATTTGTGCGAAGCCATAATTCAATTACGAAATTCAAGAGAGAACTTTAATTAAGCTCAGACCTTGAAATTAATATCCTTATGTAATACCGGGTAGAATTCAAAATCATAGAATTCATAATCATTGTTGTGAAGGCAGGCAAGTGTAACGCTTTGTAAATTAAAAAAAGAACTTAATAGGGATTTATTACTTCGCTTTATGGTGTGTGTTTTCTTCTATAAAGTAAACGAGATTTTAATTACGTACTAAAAATCTAATCTATCTAAGTAGGTACTCATATATGCCTAGCCAACAATGCACAAATTACTTGGATACTTGGAATATTTTCCCTGGTGTTTGCCTTCATCGCTGAGTATAGGTACTGTTAATTAGCTTTACAATTATTAGTAACAATTTCATTAAATCATTTTTCATTTGGTTGCTCGCCTAACTGTAATATTAAAGCAAATTGTAATTCAATATTCGAATTTTTCAACGTACGATAAACGTAAAAGAAACAGTAAAATAGTTTTAGAATCGGCAGTAGTCCACGTGAACAAAGTCGTGTGCGGTTTAGCTAGTTTTTCATAAAGCTTGTTTTTCGTAAAGCTTAATTCAATTTTTTTATTTCTTACTATCTACTCGAGGCTGATCGACATAATATAATTGCCTATGAGAAAAGCACTCTTTTCTCACGTCGATAACCACCAGCGAGAAAATTTGTCCCTGAGATTTATTACGATACTTTAACAGGGAAATGAAGATGTGATACACATACCATCTTCAATTTTACCGACACACCTACACAGGTGTGTCGATATCATCGAAATATGTGTAATGTACGCAAGCTCTCCAGCTGTGGGCCTAGTGAAGATGGTTGCATCAGTCACATTGTATCTTAGTTCTTTTGTTAAAAGTCTTGTGCTATTTCCCGACTTTTAAATTTAGGACGTGTGATTATTGAATTTTGTAAACCCACCGGATTTACAAAATTCAATAATTCTTATGGATATTGAACTGTCGTCAATTTTGCAGACTAAATCATTATACTTATTACATTTTAGATCATCTGACACTGTTTGCTGTATAATAATATTGTTTACCTCATTTAATAAATCGGTTCTTGGTGAGACTATTGCCCTCGAAAAAAGCTGGTTGTAGTTTTTTAGCAGATTTTCAATGTCAGGATATATTGCATCAAAAATACGCTGTAGACTGTGTACGATTTGATCCAACTTATTATGCAGTACTATTTGACGCCTGCTTGTATTTAGGGAAGATAATACAGACAGACAGACAGATACTAAAGCAATGATAGTTTAAACAAACCGAAATAAGGTGTCACACTCATATTTGTGATAATTTCTAAACGAAAGGTACGATTTAATTAATTTATCGAGGAATTCACATCTACAGAAATAACTTTTATTGAGAAATTATTTATCTGAATAAGAGTCAATACCATCATGCGAATGTAGTCATTTTTCGTTTCTATTAGTGTATTAATTAAATTTCAGAATATATGTTATTGTCACCTAACTATAACAGCTGGACATATTGCATAGATTAATATATGTCTCAAGTACATTATTGTAGATAATGTGAAGTTCTATAAACATCTAGTACATTATTTTATTCTACTATCAACAGTTTTCGTAGCGCACGCCTTGTGCTGACAGTTACAATATTGGAATTTTCTTAGGGGTCCCCATTTTTTTAATACCGATAAAATATAACCACTGTTACTGATAATGTAGTTTTCTATAGGTGAAAGAATTTTAAATTCGATTCAGTAATTTTAAAGTTTATCCATTATATAAAAAAAAACAAATCTTATCTCTTTATAACATTAGTTAAAATAATATTAGTTTAGGTAATACGTACATTTTAAAATGTGATTTTAAGCTTTGAGTATAAAGTTGCAGATATATGAAATGAATATATTCTCCTACTTGATGTAATTCTGAAATGAAACTGTAACCCTTGACAACTACATAAATGTTCATATTACAAGGGAATTGCTTTTAGTTATCTTATTTTAAAAGTACCTATTATATGAAATGGTATAAGGCACATCATTGCCCAGCAATTTTTGTGTTCTGCAAAGTAACCGTATTTATTTGAATTATTTTAATTTATAAATATTATTAATAAAATCCAAAGCAGAACGGTGATGAAGAGCACGTCAAAGTTATGGGGTTTATTACGTGGTAGAGTCATGCTGCAGCTATTTTAGTAGTATAGTTGTAGCACGGATGGGTCGGCTGGACCGGGGAAGGACAACGCTCTCACAGAATACCAGCGTAAAATAGTAGCTTAATGCTGCTGTGATTCGTATGGTGAGTGTAGAGAACCGTAGACCCTTTTTACTAGAAATGAGGCATTCCATCTTAGTTCTCACGAGTGATAATGCATCTGCATTTTGATTCTTAATCGAGGATAGATGAAGATGTCTATGGGCCCAATAAACACTTACCAGCAGGTGGACTGTGTGCTAGCTTGTCACCCTTATCCCATAAAAAGGGACATGGTACTACTATCGCTGATTTGACTAGCAAGTCTGGGGAACTAAAACAACCACCTTAAATGTTTTGGGTTTTTGATCTATACGATCGCCATGTTTACTTTAGCCCATGGAACCACTTACAAAATATTACATAAGTTTCGGTGAAAATTGTTCTAATTATATATTTAAAAAATAGAAGAAATAGCAGGCGATTTTCCCTGACCGACACGACTTAGGAAACTCCAAGAAACGAGCTTACTCATTTTTGATTGACCGGCAACGCACATAACATTCTCCTGGTATTACAGTAGTTCATATGTGGTGATCAAGACTTACTATTACTCGTAAGAGAGTTGCACGCTCAACAAAAAAAAATTGAGCAAGAGATTAATCGGCGAATATAACTTGACTGGGCTGCGTTTGGAAAATTTCAAAACTTTGTGTCAGATTCCTCTACGTAGTGGCGGTGTAAGAATATTTACTACCCCATCATCCCGCGGGAGTCTTCTTTCTTTCCTTCTTTCTTATTATTTATCTTTATTACCTCGGAACCTAAAATGTATACAGCTCAAAGTTACTAAGCGAGTTATGGAGAAGGTTATCCTCGAAGTTTCTCTGCGTGATGAAATACATAACCAGGATATCCGCAGAAGTATAAGAGTAACTACTTAATAACGTACTATACTGAAAGAAAGTTCTCAAAGCCAAAATTAGGGAAAACAAAAAAAAAAAAAGAAACCCATAAAATAATAAAAAAGAAACACCGAAAAAAATTAAAATTTTAAAAAAAAAAAAACAAGTAATACGGTCGTTTGCACTTTGTTCAACTTTATCGCTTTTCTCGACTCAACGTGCTCGTAAGGCGCTTCTTATACGATATTGTCAATTTACAGCCAATAGATTTAAATCGGAAGAGAAAAGTTTTCAAATTATACTTACAATTATCCCATAGTGTATTGTATATTAAAGAAAAATAATAATAATAATGGATGATGGAATACGGAAGAACGCGCAAAGGGCCGCTGCCAGGAGGTCGAGAGCGAGAGGTGCTGCACGACCACCCATCAACCCCTCGCATCCACCATCCCCACCATCTGGCTTGGTGTCGGCAGGGTCTTCGCGGGCCCAGCAATCGGCACCCGCCACTGGTGGAGTACGCCGCATGCGATGGACACTCAAAATGAATACCAACGCACTGTGGGCGTATTTTAGGGCGAAAGGGGGAGAAGTTGGAGGTTTGGTATATCGGGCTAGGATGCATCGTCTTTTTGCTGAGCTGGAGCCATCTATAACCGTCACCGAGCAAAACCAGGCAGAACGAGTTCGGTATATCTCGCGCTCAAATATATTTGATGTTGCCGAACTCGAACGGCTACGACGTGAGGCTGTTCCTTCATCGGGTGAAAATGCTACGGCTGAGGATGCGGCGCCACAACTTGCAGAGCAAACAGCAAACGTGGATGCCGCCGTGAATACCCCAGTTGTGGTTGATTCAAACGATGATGGAACAATCGCCCAGGAACTGGAACTAGAGCAAATGAGGAGTACATTGGAAGAGGCGATTGTGGAAACGCGCAGTACGCCTCTCGAAAATCGACCGCGACTTCCTCGCATATCCCTAAGCATCGTGTCGTGAGTCGTGAGGGCTCTGAACTCCATGCTGGTGACCTATTTAGAAGCCAGCCGGGACCTTTGCGAGACGGACTCAATTATTTTTGGCGCCGCACTGGCAGTCTGCCGTATTATAGGCGCCAAACTCTCCACGGCTGGACGCGCTACTAGACGAAGTAGTGCTATCCTAGCTTGGAGAATAAGAATTAACGAACGTATCGCAAAAACTAGGGCCCTCATCGGAAGACTGATATGCTTCAGGTCAGGCAATACCAGGCCAAGGATTGTGCGCACCGTCAGGATGGCGTTTGCTGGGACAAATGTTAGTTTGTCCCAGCCGGATATAATGCAAAAACTGACAGAGCGCATAGACGACCTGAAGCAGAGAATCGCTGCTTGAGGAAAGCGGATTCGGCGATATACCGAGAGGTCGACACGGTTCAACCAGAATCGTCTCTTCTAGAGTGATCAGAAGAGGCTTTATAAATCATTGGGGCGATCAATGGTAAGTGGAACGGGCCCAGCACCCAATCAGACCGACACGGTCGCATTCTGACGCACCCTGTGGTCAGAGCCCGCAAACCACAGTGAGGGCCCTTGGACGGAAGTTGTGGCGAGTCAATGTGCGGGTATAACGCCCATGGACCCCGTCATCATAACGCCGGATGACGTAGCTGAGGCGGTCCGTAGGGCCCCGAACTGGAAAAGTCCGGGGCTTGGCGGGCTGCATCACTACTGGCTGAAGGGGTTCATGGTGTGTCACGCTGTGCTCGCTCGACAGTTTCAAGAGGCTCTCAACCAGAAGTCGCTCCCAAGCCTCTTCACTACTGGGATCACTCATTTGGTTCCTAAAGACCAAGGTACCACAGACCCGAGCAAATACCGCCCCGTCACGTGTCTACCGACCATATACAAGACACTAACATCCATTTTGAGCGCGAGAATCACTCGTCACCTGGACTCAAATCAGGTGATGTCGCGCGCTCAAAATTGATGTCGGGGCGGCGGTCGTGAAACCAAGGAACCACTCCTCATTGACGCGGTCATTGGCAAAGTGGTGAAACTCAACCGTCGGAACTGCTCCGCCGCCTGGATAGACTACAGAAAGGCATTTGACTCGGTGCCCCATACATAAAGAGGGTTCTCGAGCTGTACAAGGTTGACTGTACAGTTCGAGACTTCCTCGCGCAGTGTATGGGGCAGTGGAGTACGATCCTCTGTCGTCTAGGCGAGCGGATGACGGCTGCGGTAAGCCGCGTAAGGATAAGAAGGGGTATATTCCAAGGCGACTCTCCGAGTCTAATCTGGTTCTGCCTCACTTTGAACCCTCTCAGTACTTTACTGGAGGGCTCCGGGAGGGGATTTCAGCTTCGGAAAAGAGGTACAAAAGTGACCCACCTTTTCTATATGGATGACCTCAAATTATTCGCCTCCAGTCGCTCCCATCTTATGGAATTGCTAAACATCACTAGTGAATTTAGCAATTCTATTGGAATGGAGCTGGGGACGGATAAGTGTGTGGTCCTCCATGTTGAAAGAGGAAGGGTTGCTAACTCTGAGGGCATAGACTTATCTATGACCGTTAACTTAAGAACCCTTTCCGAGGCTGAAACATACCTGGGTATGTCACATAACATCGGTATCGATGAGGCTGGTATGAAACAGTCAGTTTGCGACATGTTTTATGCATGCTTGTGCATGCCAAAGTGCTTAACAGCCTTTTGTCCGGTGTAAATAAGGCACACGCATATAACGGCTGGGTCATGCCTGTCCTCATGTATACCTTTGACATACTCAGGTGGACTCAGACTGAACTTAACGCCCTGGATAGAAAAGTCCACACTACCGTGACGTCCCATAGGATGCATCATCCGAGATCGTCGGTAATGAGGCTGTACTTGCCGCGAAAGCATGGTCGGCTTGTCTTCCTGAGCACGCTCACTATGCATAATCACGAAATGTGCAGCCTCCGTGATTAGTTCCTGACGAGATCGGATGATCCATTCTATAATGACGTCATTTCTAGTGATAAAGGGCTTACCCCTCTATCCTTAGCCAACGAGCAATGGTAGGACCCGGCAGTACAAACCATTTCCGACCGGGAAACCGTATGGAAGGAGAAGGAGCTCCACGGGAGGTACTACAGGGCTCTACATGAGCCCTTCATAGATACAGTAGCCTCCCTCAACTGGCTACGTTTCATTGACCTTTTCGGGAAAACCGAGGGTTTTGTCTATGCAATACAGGATCAGGTTATTAAGACCAACAACTATCGGAGATAAATCCTAAAGGATGGCACCATCGACGTCTGTCGAGCTTGTCGCCATCCCGGTGAGTCACTTAGGCATGTCATCTCCGGTTGTTTGGCGCTTTCTAACTCTGAGTACTTGCACAGACACAACCTAGTAGCCAGAATTCTACACCAGGAGCTCGCTCTGAAATACGGTCTCGTGGACCGGAAATTGACGTATTACATGTACTATTCTTGCGAATAAGCCTGATATTGTGCTGATGGACTGGGCACAGTCAAGGATATTTTTGATCGACAATACCATTCCGTATGACGAGAACCTCGTGAAAGCCGAAACAGATAAACGAACAAAATATCTGGACCTGGCTCACGAGGTAACCTACATGTGGGGTGGTCTGCTGGCCAAAATTATTCCTGTAGTCGTCTCTGCGAATGGGCTAATCCCAGTCAACCTCTCGGGTCATCTGAGGCGACTGGGACTCCGTAACGGATCGCTCCGAGCTCAAATGCAAAAGGCGGTGCTCCTCGATACCGCCCGCATCGTCCGCCGGTTTCTTTCCCTTTCCTCCTAACCCTCGGCCGTTTGGTCTCCCCTGCCGAGGGCTTCCATCCGTTTGGATCTTATTTATGTATGTATTTTTTGTATTTTTATTTTGTTTTATTGATATTTATGTATATTTATCTTTTCATTTTAATTTACAATTATATATTTATAGACCCCAACCAGATGAGAAAACTATATATATATACCCCATAATAATAAAACCCTCTCAGTACATTACTGGAGGGCTCCGGGAGGGGATTTCAGCTTCGGAAATGAGGTACAAAAGTGACCCACCTTTTCTATATGGATGACCACAAGTTATTCGCCTCCAGACGCTCCCATCTTGTAGAATTGCTAAATATCACTTGTGAATTTAGCAGTTCTATTGGAATGGAGCTGGGAACGGATAAGTGTGCGGTCCTCCATCTTGAAAGGAGAAAGGTTGCTAACTCTGAGAGCATAGACTTATCTATGCCCGTCAACTTGAGGACCCTTTCCGAGGCTGAAACATACCGATACCTAAGTATGTCATGATATCTGAGATCTTTGTAAGACCCGTGTTTCCTTAATTGAACCGAGCTTCGATTTCAACCTTTAGGAAAGCAAGCCACAACTGTCCTGGGTGGACCTATATCAACTAGCCCTCGCCTCCTGGTCTAAATAAAGATCAAGGGGCGTTAGGCACAGAAGTGCATTAAGAGCTTCTCCGGGCGGTGATCGCCTCGCTTCAGTTGCCATTAAGGATCCTTTGTAGACTATTTAGTCTGTCCGCAGTCATCTTTTGGGGGGACTTGTTACACCAGACAATGGAGGCGTAGGTGATAATCGGCCTCACTATGCTGCTGTACAGCTATAAGATCATACTTGGACGCAAGTTGTAGTTGTTGCTAACCATACGACTGCACGTACCTAAAAAAAAGCCATATGACATATGTTGCTAAGGTGAGAGTTCCACGTGCGTTTTAATAGTAGATAATTAAAAGAATCAGGCGTTACTTTGCGGAAATCCATTATATTGAAGTTGTAAGAACTTAATTTACTTAGTTCTGCGTAATAAAATACAATTATGTGTCCTGCCCAGTCTGAAGAGCATCAACCTCTCACTCTCCTTCAGTTGCGTGCACTATTCCCTGCACCACCACTTTTTTTATTATTATTATGTGCGAGCAGCTATGCAGGTCTAGATAAAGAGACCAGTATCACTGCGATCTAGAAGATCTATTGTGATCGCTGCTATGGCTATAGTTCACTGCTAAGCCCTATGTCTTAAATGAATCGAAGGAGTGCTTAGCCGTGAGCAATTTCACTTCTTCTGGGCGGAGTAGATAGTGTCCCAGATGAGTGATTACGTTTGCGCATTAAGGGTCCGCAATCGGTTAGGATGTGTGGAGGCGTTTCTTCCGTTATGGAACAGAACCGACACATCCTTGAGTTACTTAGTCCCAGGATGAACATGTGCTTTTGAAGACAACAGTGTCCAGTTAGGGCTCTTGCCAGAATGCGCAATTTATTTTTACTTAATCCCAGGGCTTCTGAAGCGAATTTATGATCAAAAGCCCGGATTAAGGTTTTAGAATGTTTTAAGCCTAGTGTGTCAGACCAGATCTTAAGTGATTTATTGTGATAAAGAGTTTCAAGGGTCAATCGGGCTAGACTTCTTGAGATTCCACAAAATGGCTCGGGTCCAAATTGTGTGCACTTTGAGGTCAAGTGTCAAACTACAAACCCTCGTGACCCGGAACCCATCTTAAAACGACCCTGTTGTTACAACCCAGGGCGTTTAAACGGTTCACGCAGTCTCCAACTAGCTTTGAGTTCACTAAGTTTGATCTCAGCGCTAGCAGTGCTGCTTGACTATCAGAGTTTATGTAAATTTTATAGTTGACGTAGTGTTTTTGCAGATTGATTTCCGCACACCGAAGTATGGCGAAAATTTCTGCCTGGAAGATAGAGGTGTATCTACCCAAATTCATACTAAGTTTGAATTTGGGGCGTTCCCCATAAATTCCAAAGCCTACGTCGAGGCCCATTTTAGACCCATCGGTATACCATATGAGGCTACCGACCTCACAGATAACCTGGCCATTCAGCCAGTCTTCTCTGGAGGGTAAATCCACTATATACTTTTTATCAAAAGTGTATAGTGGACGCATGATATCTGAGATCATGCATAAGACCGGTGATTCCTTAATTGAGTCGAGCATGGATCTCAATCTGTAGGAGAGCAAGC